TTATATGAAAAAAATGCAATTATCTATATATTTATTTAATTTAACATTAATTAAAAATAATCCTACACTCTCTATATAAAATATTTATTAAATTATATCTCTGTGCGAATTTTTTTTATAATAATATCCATAAATCTTGTATTATAAAAAACATTTTTTAATTTTACCTTTGAACTTTTAGAAATGTCCTTGTGTTTGTCTAGAATAAATTATACACGGATATAATTCTCTAAGATTATTGACCATATTAATTGTTTTCTTAATTACACAATTATAAATGGTTTTTTTATTTATTTTTACCGAAATAAGATAACATAACAGATCTAGTTATTTTTATAGTCACGCTTCAAAATAGTCTGAATAAACCGGATCCTAGTGAAACTAATTGTTTTCGTATATATATTTGAATTAAAAAAATGTTTCTATTTAAAAATATACACTTTTTATAGCCAATAAAGTCGTAAAATGTTGTGTCTAAAATCAACATTCAACAATCATTCAATGACGAAGGATTGATCGTTTAAGGAAAATATTAATTAATTTTACCTATTTCCTATACAAATAAAGTATGAGATTTATGATATTTTCACTTGGTCTGATTCTTAATACTTTTGATTTTTATACTGAAAACTTTATAACTGAATGCTAAGTTGAAATAATGTTTTTTGTTATTGTATCTATTGTATTGTAAGTGGAAGAAAAGTCGAAGTTTTTTTGCAATTTTATTATAATATTAAAACAACAACAGTTTTTATCTATTTTTCACAAAACCTATTTTTTATAAATTTTCAGCATTTATTTTTAGTTTTGAAAAGAAATATTTTATAACTTATGTTCTGCTTGTTAAAACACAACTTCTTCTAAACCAAAACAAGTTTTACAAGCAAAAATATGACATTTTTTAGAAAAAAAAACTAAGAATCCCTAACTAATCCCTAAAAAACAATAATAAATTTAGAGGCCGCTTCTTAAAAATTCTAATAAAACATGGATGATTAAAAATAAATAAACAGGTCTCCGTCGGACACCATATGCCAAGTGTAAACATTTATGTCTTCTGGGTAATAATTATTTTTTATTTTTTACGAATACTAAATTAAAAGAAAATTTATGACTTATTGGCTTTCCCGTACCCAACGAGGATTTATTAATTTTATTTTTATTTATTGTATTTGTTTCAAGATACTTTTACAGCAGGTATAAACGGGTTCGTTGTCTGTTTGTCATTGGAGTCTCCAAGAATTTAACTCGAAAAATATTGGTTTTGTTAAGTTTGTATTATGGATAAAAATAGTTTGTTGTGGTGGGATTATAATTTATATTTGTCAAAAATAAACTTTATTTGCAAGATTTATGGGAAAAATTCGTTTGGGTCTCTTATACAATATTTTTTTTACCTTTTTAATTATATTTTTTTCTGAGTATTCGAATAAAATTAAATTTTGTTTTTGTTATCAATGTTTTAATGCCATATTAAAAATTCCATAAATATTTTATTTACCATATTTAGATAACGTATAACACTCATATTTTTAATAAAAAACAGTATTTTTTCACGACGGTTAAAGTTACAGGTACAGAGTAAAAAAACTTTTTTGTAAAAAGTAAGAAAAACTTGAAAATTCAATTTTCTAAAAAAAAGTCATAAAATTAATCATATATGATAATATATATATAATTCGGATAAGTCATATAATTAATTCATAGTTTACTAGTATATTATGTATTAAGTTTTATAAACACCATTTTAATTACGAGGTTTATTAGGCATGAGCGAAGCTTGCAAGCAAGTGTTTAAGAAAAACAAGTGTATAGAGAAGTTTATAAAACGAGTTGCATACTATACTTTATCTACGACTAACACAAAGAAGAATTTAAAGCCAATTTTATTTGTTAAACATTTAACGGATTTAACCTCACTTTTTTCCAATTTATAATAAAGCAAACTTCAGCCCGTGACTAAAACACCATAAGTCACAGCTTGTCAATGTAGGGGTAGATAAAAGATATAAAGCATAATATATTAAACTGCCAAATATTAATTAACTATATTGTTTTACGGCACAACGCTTAAAGATATAGGTAACAAGTAAAAAATACTTTTATAGGAAATTTTCTACAAAAATAGTCTTATGCATAAATGCAATAAAGTGTAAGGTTTAGAAGATATAAACCATTTAATAAATTTTACGGTCAGCTATTGATAAAGTAATTAGTTTTATCAAAATTTAACAGTTAAATTTATTAAATGCTCTATATCTTTTAAACTAAGCATTTTATTGTATAAACACATTTAACTTTTTTTATTGGAAATTTAATTTTCTATAAAAATATTTTGTATTTTTTACCTGTAACTTTAACCGTTTCGCCGTAAAAGGCATTAAATACTGTTTTTTATTAAAAAGGTCGAAAGTATAGGTTGTATAAAAATTGTTGCAAGTACTTTGAAGAGAATCTAATTATGTACAAATTACACCTATGTTAATTATAGTAGCGTAAAATACCGCCAAGCCATAGGAAATTGAACAAATGTTATTTCAATGGAAAAACTTTAAAATAAAATAAAAGTACCTACTTAGGAGTAAGATTAAGGGCTGAAACTTTAAGGGCATTTTTTCGATATGTACATCAATATTTTGCCTTGGGAGCGACAAAAAATAAATGTTCCTTTAAAACGAATCATATAAATATTTTTTAATGAATTTGTAATATACACAATTAATGTAAATATATTGATTTTACAAATTTTTAAACAGATTTCTTTACTTTTTTGCCAACGATATTATTTTCCTACAATTTTTTTTAATATAATATATAAATATTTTTAATTTTAGTTTAATTATAGGTATAGGGTAAAGTAGACAGGTATCGGACACTTTATAGTTAAGTTAAGCAGTTTTTGAGATATAGTCAATTCCATATTATATGTAAAATTGATTATATTTCAAGAACTGTTCTACTTTTATAACTTTTTATGATATTTTCGGATTCAGCGAATAATATTTCATAGAAATTGACTGCTAAATGTCCTGGATACAAATTGCTGTGGACGAGATTTATTAGTGGCTGCTTTTTCGCTATGACATTTTTGACTAATTCATTTGACCAAGGAATTAGTAGTTACCTATAGAATTTAAAAAAGAGATGAGGAATCCGAGAAAGAAATATATGAATTATTTGATATTTACAAAACTAAATAAAATTACCTAAAACAGCAATTTATCTTTAAAAAATATTTAATAATTTATGTTATTTGATTTAAAGTTGTTATGTTTATATAAAAATTGTATGTCCAATAACTATGTTCCATGTGTCCAATTACTAGCATGTTTTTATAAAACTATTATTAAAAATTCAAATATTCTTTTTTTAAAGTAAACTTAAATAAAGTTTAAACAAACAAACTATCCTTTTTATATATTTATACGAAAAAAAACTAAAATCTTTAAAACAACGGCATTTATAAATATATATATATATTTTAAATAAATAATATTCCGTAAGTGTCCAATGAGTATGTGGTTTACCCTAATTAAAATTAGATTTTTTGTTTCAAAAGGCTGTTTTTAATAGTTATATTAATTTAATAAAAAAAAAATTATTTCATATTTTAAAAATAACATTTATTTATTTATGTATAATTTATATCCCAAAGTTTTTGATTTTTAAGTTTAAAAACATAGTATTTTCTTTATATTTTAGGTTACACTTAACAATTTTATTTATAGTACTTGACTTGTCTTGAATTAGTTTTTTTTTAGTTTTTAGTGTTTACAAAAGGTTAATAGTTTAGAATGACATTACTTTATTTGTTTTTTATAAAAAACAATTTAGTTTGCGTTTATAAGTAAAAAGGTTCGTTGCTTCATCGCCTGTTGGGATCTAATTTTCATTTAAACTTACTTGATAAAGATTTGTAAGTATCGAAGTAAATAGAGCAGTTAAGCAAGGTATACCTAGGGTTAAGTAGACAATTATTTTATATTTATTATTATAGTCAATTCCATATTATATGTAAAATTGATTATATTTCAAGAACTGTTCTACTTTTATAACTTTTTATGATATTTTCGGATTCAGCAAATAATATTTCATAGGAATTGACTGCTAAATGTCCTGGATACAAATTGGACGAGATTTATTAGTGGCTGCTTTTTCGCTATGACATTTTTGACTAATTCATTTGACCAAGGAATTAGTGGTTACCTTTAAAATTTAAAAAAGAGATGAGGAATACGAGAAAGAAATAAATGAATTATTTGATATTTACAAAACTAAATAAAACAAATTACCTAAAACAGCAATTTATCTTTAAAAAATATTTAACAATTTATGTTATTTGATGTAAAGTTATGTTTATATAAAAATTGTATGCCCAATAACTATGTTCCATGTGTCCAATTACTATATAAAATGTCCAATTACTTGCATGTTTTTATAAAACTATTATTAAAAATTCAAGTATTTTTATTTTTAAGTAAACTTAAATAAAGTTTAAACAAACAAACTATCCTTTTTATATATTTATACGAAAAAAACTAAAATCTTTAAAACAACGGCATTTATATATTTTAAATAAATAATATTCCGTAAGTGTCCAATGACTATGTGGTTTACCCTAATTAAAATTAGATTTTTCGTTTCAAAAAGCTGTTTTTAATAGTTACCTATATTAATTTACCTAATAAAAACAAATTATTTCATATTTTAAAAATAACATTTATTTATTTATGTATAATTTATATCCCAAAGTTTTTGATTTTTAAGTTTAAAAACATAGTATTTTCTTTATATTTTAGGTTACACTTAACAATTTTATTTATAGTACTTGACTTGTCTTGAATAAGTTTTTTTTTAGTTTTTAGTGTTTACAAAAGGTAAATAGTTTAGAATAACATTACTTTATTTGTTTTTTATAAAAAACAATTTAGTTTGCGTTTATAAGTAAAAAGGTTCGTTGCTTCATCGCCTGTTGGGATCTAATTTTCATTTAAACTTACTTGATAAAGATTTGTAAGTATCGAAGTAAATAGAACAGTTAAGCACTAATAACGAACGTAATCCTCAACAAGTACACTTGGTAAACCCACTCAAAAAAATCTCACAAAAAACGTACACTAATATCACACAAAACACATGCAGTTTATCGAGAAGAATCCACACACTTGCCGCGTGTATGTCTATGTTACCATGTTTAGTTACTACAGGGAGAAGAGGTTTCGTGCGGTGAGAGAGTATAGGCGCAGAAACGGTGGTCCTCGATAGACTAGCTCGGCAGCGGTTGTCTACGCTGAGGCCTAGACTCGGTCGCGGCCGCGATCAAACGGCTTCTTACGCTCTTCTCGAGGTGGGGACAGGTGTACCAACTAACAGCTATGCCACGGAGAGGCTCTCGAAGCAGATATAGCGGAGCCCACAGCCGCCGATTGACCCACCTACCGAAATATCAAACATATGTGCCCATGCGTATGCAAGTATGTATTAAAGTTGTTTGAGGGACACGAAGAAGTACTGAAGATGATTTTTTTGTATAATTAAAAAATATTAACTTATAAAATAATATCACATTATGGATATTAATTAAAATTATGATAAACATTTATTAAAAAAGTAGTTCCTCCATACTACTAGCTAGGGCGTCTTCGAAGATCTTTAAAATATTTATACATAAAAATATTTTTTAATTTTAACTAAATATTATGATTTTATGGTAATCCAGGTGGAAGAAAAGAATTTTGATAAGAAATTTATCTTTATTAATCAATTTGACATTGATATTGACAATGGCATTTATTTATATGGTAACCTCAAAAATGTTAAACTTTTTTATAACCGTAAAGTCATAACTTATTTATATAAATAAAAATTGACAAATAAATGAGCAAAACATCTTACGCGGCAAAAGTATACACAATTGTTCAAAAAATATCAGTAAAACATACAAAACTTATCTTTCAGTTGACAATATTAAATAAAATCTACCTATCCCCAACTAATAACGACTTTAAAAAATTTAAAAAAAAACGCTAAATAAAAGCCAAAATCAAAAAAAGTATAAAACACACGTTGCAGCTATCTTTGCTTATGGCCAAATTTTGAATTCATGAGGGAATATGTGGCCTTCTGCAACTTGTACTATTCTCCACAACTCAAAGTCCCACTATGTTACTACGAAGGAACGCAGTCTTTTAAAAATTTGGCATTTAAGGCTTTTCAGGTTATTTATATTTCAAAGTATAGTCAAAGAAATAAATAATATTAATCGTAATATTATTAATATTAAGAGTTAAAAATGTATGAATCTTTATATGTAGTATCACAATAATAATGATTGGTTTAAGAATTTTGGAATATAAATAGTATTTATTAAATACTGCATTTAATGAAATTTTAAAGTGTATTGTGCCAAATAAGTAATATACGAGGTGTGTTCAGAAAATATCGGGAATTTTCGTTTTTTAAAACAAATATTTATTTATTCGTCTACATTATTGTTGTCGCCTTCAAAATAGTCCCCATTGGATATTATGCACATGTGCCAGCTCTTCTTCCAATACTCGAAACACTTCTAAAACTCGATCTTTGGGATAGCCTTTAGTTCTTTCAGCGATGCGCTTTTAATGTCATCTATGCTTGCAAAACGACGGCCCTTTAAGGTTCTCTTTATTTTTGGGAATAGGAAAAAGTCAGACAGAGGCATGTCTGGCGAATAATAATAATAATAATAATAATAATAATATTTATTTATTTTATAAAACATCTACATGGTATAAGGAAAGATACAAAGAAATATAATATAAAAAACGTCAAGCTCAAAAATCAATATAAAGTTTCTTAAAATTATTTTGTATATTGTATAAAATCATTTACTGTGTAAGGCTCCAGAATATGGAGGCTGGGGCATCATTACAGTATTGTTTTTGGCCAAAAATTTTGTTCAAAATTTAACAATTTTAGATCAAATTTTGCTGCCACGTGTTTCATACCGAAAACATTCGAAAAAATTTCATGGGATGAGCCAATCGATATACCAACATCATCAGCGACTTCTCTGATGGTTTATAACCATTTATTCCACTTTTTCCATGTTTTTATCGGTTGTTAATGTGCTTGTGCGTTCGGGGCGTTCGTCATCTTCAACGTCTTCACGGCCATCTTGAAAACTCATAAACCACTTGTAAACTCTTGTTTTACTTATAGCAGACTCACTATAGGCCTTTGTTATTATTTCACAGAATTTATTTCATTTTTTAAGCAAAATTGGATACAAATTCTTTAATCCATTTCTTTTAACGAACGAAAAATCGTCGAGCTCATAAAACACGTCTAACCTTAGCGGCTGCCACAGACAAAGTAAACAATGAAAACAGCTAAAGTTTTTAGCATGCTTCGGGGGCATGTATACCAACATAATAATGAAAATTTTATGACAACCGGACCCTCCGAAATTTAACAATTCCCGTTATTTTCTGAACACACCTCGTATATCACAATCGTAAAGTCTGGCCAAGTATTTAAGTTGTAAAAAACTTTTGTACAGCCTTTGGTATTGGTAGGTTTAATAAGCAATTGCATCTCGCACCATCTAAAAAACTTGCATATTTTTTTCTATTTTGTATTTTATATACATGCATATCTATTTATATTTGACTTGTTTTACATCATTATATTATATACCTAGGTATTTTTAACAAATAAAAAATGTCATTAGAAGAAGTTTTAAAAGTTTGGTATTATAGCAAAATATTTTAATAACATTCTAAAAATTATTGGTTCACATGTAACATTGTTATATTTTGTTGGTTAAACAATTTCAGACTTTTTTTACGTACAAAACTTAAAACCTCATCCCAAAATATGTTCTTAATATTCTTAAAGCTAAATTTGACATTATAAAATATGCTTTGTGCATTTAAAAAGTCTTATTATCTTTATTTATGTTCACATTAAAATTTACATTTACAAACATTTTTTAAGCTGACGAGCGTTTTTGTAAACCAGTTTTGCATACAATTTTCACAATTAAATCAAAAATTTATCAAAACAAAATAATAAAACAATTAACACTTATTTTTAATATTTATAGGGAATATTTTATTGGCTGGTAAAATCCCGATAATATAAACAGTATTAAAAAGAAAAATAATTGCTATAATTTTCTATAAAATATCCTTTTAATATATATTTTTTTAATGTTAGTATTTTAGTGATTTTCTGAAATTTTTGTAACTGTCTTGTTTTTTACTATTTTTAATTTTTATTTAAAAAAAAAATTATACAAGGTGTTCCATACGTTAAAATTGTGTGACAAAGTTTCTTATTATTATTTTTGTTTGACGATGTTTAAAAAAAATAAAATTCGTTAATAATAACAAAGCTATGGTGATTTTAATTTATATTATTTTCAAACCAACTTTTAAGAAATACTTCTGCCAATTGGTTTTATTTTCGATTTTTCGGGATGTAGGACCTACATTGTAGGTACCTTCTAATAAATCATTTATTATTTTAGTTTTCTTGTTTGGAAAAAATATATACTTATATATATGAATTATATGTTTTAATATGCATATTCGCCAAATTATATTGATCATTTAAGTGATTAGCCGATATTTTTAATTAAAAAAAGGAATGGGTTATGCTAAAAAACTATGCACAATAATTGATATGCAGGTTCCATTTATATATCTTGTATTTCATAAAAAAATACTTATTAGCTTGAAGACCATGACATTTCATTGTTTTGTCTGTCAACTATTTGTTATCATACGATTTGGCAATAGGCAATAATTTTCTCTTTGTTGTTTATAATCTCGTCCAATAAACTTTAATTGTATAAATTTTTTTCAATCAAAACGGGCGTATGATTTTGTTTCGCAATCGGCCATATATGTATTTTCGATAATTAATGTTATGTAATGAACAATAAATATATTTGCAGCTCTAAAAATTAATTAGCTATTAACAAATTTTATATTTATTTGTTTGCACATCCGGGTTTAGATTTATTCGTTCGACCTATATAAACCCTTGATTTATCTGCATCATTCCGTAACACCAATTTGTTTTAGCCCCTGTTTAATTGAAAAAAATATTACCTTATCTTAATCAATTGTTAATTTGTCACTAAATTAATTTTACTTCTAAAAGCGGCTTTAAATATGTACATAGAAATATTTATAAATACACTGACATTAATATATTAATCAATTAATACGAAAAGTTTATCTTACTGACCTTAATGACTAGTATTTACATTTCTGCTTGATTAATAACATTTATTTTTTGGGAAAATCAAACAAAATATTTATTTTAGTAAGAAAAAAATATTAAACAGCAATTAACTACTTTGTCATAATTAGCTTTATGCAATACCTACTAGTTATGCATAGATACTGGAATAAAAACATATGTGTTCGCAAAAAATATTGCTACATATGTGTAGACTACCAATAAATCAATCAATATATTGGTTAAGTGAATTTGGTTATGCAAAAACCACATAGTAAATGAAGTAAGTAATTATCTCTGCCGTTGATTAGCCAATAGACATAATAAAAATCCGCGAACAATAAAGATGATGTGTAAACATGCTGCTATGCCAATCAATCAGAAACCAATACCCCACATGTCGATTTATGTGCAACAAAAACCAAATATGAGTTTCTGTATATCGTCTGGGTACGCAGATATGGGTCAATAAATATTTCATTCAATTGCCTTGCCGTTGCAAAACATATTTGAGTTATTGTTATTTTTATTATTTGATAATTTGAACAGTTTAAATCGTGACTGGAACTGATCTAGTTCTGGCTCTTGCTTTCCGAACGAGTAATAACTTTTGCAAACGTCCAATGCTGAAGCTATCAATTTTTACGCATGGAATGGGTTTAAGTTACATCACAGATAGTAATAAAGAAGAAATAATACTAGTATAGTATTAGAAAAAACAAAATGCCATCTTTTTGTATGTAGTGATTATTAGCTAAAATTGGATTTTAAATGCAAAAATGATGATACTTTATTTCTACGGTATTTTTTTGTTCAAGAAATCTTGTTGTAAATGTGTCCAACATATTTAATTTAGTTAAAAAATATATGGTAGAAAATATATAATAATAATAATAATAATAATATTAATAATAATAATAATAATAATAATAATAATAATAATAATAATAATAATAATAATAATAATAATAATAATAATAATTTTATTAATACAACGAGTTACATGAGTATAGGACAGGTCAAGTAAAATAATATTTAGGTGTGTTTACA